CCTATGACAAGTTGATCTTGTAATGCAAATAAGTTATTTTTTGCTTAATCATTCTTCTTAATTATCGCTCAGGGTTATTTACTACTTAGTAAGGGTAAAATTCACGAGAATTACTAAATTGATAAATAATTTGTAAAATAAAAATTCTATAGAACAAATATTTTGGCACGAGTTAGGGAGGTCTAGGTAATTGTAAGTTGAATTGAATTATTGGAATGGTAGCTGGAAGTTAATAGGTAAAATTAGGGCCGGGGATAGATCGTGTCCGACAATTATAGGCAAATTACCTATCCGATTTAACTACCCGATTTTGCTGAATAGTGCAAACTATTACCAACTTGACCAGTGTAGGTCGGATAATGGTTGACAATCGACTTTGTCGGGTAAACACTGGTCGGTTGTTGGTATTATCGGCCATCTATTTATTGATTTTTTAATCTCGATCTCTTTTTTTTTTTTGGCAATAATAAGATATTTTTAAAAGTTTTTTCAGAAGATATTCAAAATTTTGGGAAAACTTATATTGCAAAAATCTTAATTTTAAAATTAAGAGTTTTTTATTGAATTTCTACAAGTAAATATATAATGAAGAATATAAAATAAAAAAATTATAAACTAGAATTATAAAGTAGAGAATTATAAATTTGTGTTTTGAGGTTTGACTTTTGTTAGATATTATTTTAATATTAAGAAAATAAGAATTACAATTAAATATTATTATAAGCTTTTATTATTAAAAAGTCGGTTGACCGATATTACCTACTACTAACTTTGAGTAAATGAAAAACATCGACCGACCAACTTATATATGCGTTGGTTAAAATTACCGGCATAACTATATGAGCCGGTTAATTAGCGGTTATCAACCAATAAAAGTGGATCGAAAGCGCATCGGTTGACCGATAAAACTTACGAATGCCATGTCCACGCCGTTGAGTTACCACGATTTACATTCCTCCATCAATCCTTATCGGGTCAAGGGATGGGGGCCCTGAGGGCAAGATATTTCGCCTTTTGGTGCAATATAATGCAGATGGATCACTCGTGGCGGCTTAAATAGTAGGATATTGCAAGTGAAAGATAATTAATGTCGAACATGATAACTTAATTAAATTAATGCTAATTGAAAATATTATCACAAACACTTTAAAGTTAAACTAAAAGTGAAAACACCTCAATCTCAACATTAAGTTTAAAGAAACTTTTTCAATTAACAACTAAATAATGTGAACTCAACTTCAAAAGGCGCCCATAAGAAAATTCGAACTTGCATCTAATTAATAAATTATTTTGATCTGGGTTCAATGCATAGTTTTTAAAATATAAACTATGGATTCCACTAGTTACAACAATAATAAAAAAATAAGTTAGAAACTTATATATAATTATACTCCCTTCATTTTAAATTAAGTATCACTTTGAGGAGTTTTTCTTATTTCATATTATTTGTTATTTTAAATATTCAATAATGCATTAATTACAATTTTATCAATTCTGTCCTTATTAATTTTAATTAGTAAAGAGGAAATTAATAAAACTAAGGTAAAAGCTAAGATAAAATTACTTTAATCGCATTATATGTTTGTTTTTTTTTTCTTAAAAAAAGCAATACATATTTATTAATTTTCTTAATATTATTGTTACAACAACACAAAACAAAACGTTACAACTAATGAATCTGATTAAACAATCAAGATTAAAAAAAAAATTAGAGTTGATACAATTGTTGAATGAAGTTATCAACGTAATCATCCATGTATCCAGGGTTGACCAAAGTCTCCTTCCACACAGCATGATTCCGCTTCACCATTTTCCCGAGCTCACTTTCTTCATCCATGGCGGAAACGATCGCCTTGCTCAAATCCTCCTTAGAGAACCAGCCCATGACACCCCTCTCCACCTCCACCGCCACCTTCAGCTCCTCCGCCAGCAGCCGCGTGTTCAGTATCTGATCCGCCAGCCTCGGCACCAGCACTATCCGGCAGTCACTCAGCAGAGACTCCCACATGGATCCGAACCCGCAGTGGCTGACGAAGCAACCCACCGACGGGTGGTTCAGGAACTGGATCTGCTGGACCCACCCGCCGTGCACCACCCCTCTGCCGCCAACCCTCTCCAGGAACCCCTCCGGCAGGGCTTCCTCGATGGAGTCCGCTCCGGCGGGCTTCGAAACCGCCACGAAGAACGGAAGCCCGGTCATCTCGAAGCCCAGAACCATTTCCTGAAACTGGTCCTTCTTCAGAATCATCTGGCTTCCGAAAGCGCAGTAGACAACTGATTTTGGCGGGAATTTGCTCAGCCACGTCAGCCATTTTTCTTCCAGTGGCTCTTTTGCTGGTTCCGGGAGAACCGGCCCGGATAGGAAGACGGGCTTGTTGTACTGGGACGAGAGGTAGTCGACCATGGGGCCCTCCAGCTCGCGGCAGGTTCGGATTCCGATGGCGTCGCAGCCCCTCATGGCGGCGGCGATGCGGACGTGGAACTTGGTGGCGCCGTAGTCCATGCCGATGAAGGACAGCGTCATCGCCTCCTGGCCGCGGAGCACCACCGTGGAGGAAGGGTACCCACTGGGCGGCTCCATCAGCTCCTGCAGCGTCAGCGGCCGGTCGGTCGGGATACTCCTCGCCGGAACAATGCCGATCGCCATGACGGAAGCGCAGATGACGTTATAACAAACAGTCTTGAACCCGATCTTCGCGGCCAGCGCCGGAATCCAGTCGGCGAAGTCGTAGAAGACGATGTCGGGCTTGAGGTTCTGCAACAGCGTCTCTATATCGCCGGACATGGCGTCGAAGGCGACGGCGAGCGGGTCCTTGGCGGAGATGTCGATGTCGGAGGCGGTCTCGGCGCCGGTGGGGAGGCCGTCGACGTGGGGAACTCCGACGGGGGTGAACTCGATGAGATCTGGGTAGAGATTGTGGTGGGCGAGCTGAAGAACTGACTTGGGAGGGATGAAAATGGAGATTGAGTGGCCTCGTTTGGCGAGCTCGTTAGCTAGATGGATGAAGGGGGTGATGTGGCCGATTGCTATCCATGGAAACATGGCTATTTTGAGCTCCATAGTTGTTGTACTGTGTGTTGTGTGTTGTGTGTGTGTGGGGAATTGTGAGGAGGATGATACTCTTATTATATAGCAGTGTTAGTGTTAATGGTGGTGGGTGTGAGGTTTGGTGAACGGAGGAGTTAGGTTTCTTTTCGTGCTGATGCTTTATTTGCTTTACGTACTGAGTGCTGAGTGCTAAGGACATCTCCAATAGAAAAAACAAATCGGGTCTCCAAATTCTTTTTTGGAGACCCAAATAGAGACACGATAGAATCTTAGAGTGTGTTTGAAAAAATTAAGCATTGAATGCTGAACGCTGAATAAATATCTGAATGATTAAGAATAGCAGTGGCGGATCCAGGATTTTTGCCAAGGGGGTGCTAAATTGTAGAATAAAAAAATTAAATATCACTTTATAAAAATAGTGGACCAAAAATTTACAATTTAAAAATTTTAGGTGAATTGTGTAAATATTTAAAAAGAAAAAGGGTGAAAAATGTAAAGATTTGAAAAAAAATCAGATTTTTACAGGCTGGGGGTTCGAACCCGGGACCAAATAACAAATGAAGGCACATCTTTACCAACTCAACCAACTGCTTTTCTTGTCAACTTATGTATAACAGTATTATTTGTTTAAAATCAAGGGTGTGCAACTGCACACCCTAGACCATAGCTAGGTCCGCCACTGAAGAATAGTATCTGAATGTTGAATGCTGAACGAGTAAGTTTATTTGATAACTGAACATCTTTGGCGTCTGAAAGATATAATATTACTATATTAGCCCTATCCATAAATTTATTTACAAGCTGAATTATTAGTAATTCTAATTTTACAATAAAAAAAATATAAAACTAATTACAATATTAAAAGCTTTCGTCGAACGTCTTTTATTTGGAGAACCATTTATTTATGCAATATAAAATAATTTAATTAAAATCATTTTTTTATGAAAAGTCAAAATTGAAAGCTATCATTTAATTTATTGTGCCACAACAGTCTTCTTCCTCCTTGAGTGTTGCCCCTTTCTGCCATCTTCAATTTGCCGAAAGAATTATAGCGTCATCGGCCAACCAACTATCGATTCAGTTCTATCTCCGGCGAGCTCCCTCGTCTAATGTCAATGGAGACTGACATCGATTCTCATCTGTGATAATTTGAAGCCTATTATTTAAATATAAAGGTGCGTATATATAAAATTACTTAAAGCTTTTTCATGGTTGCTCAAGTTTCAATAAAATTGGTTAATAGAGGAAGAAGAGACGATGGTGTTGAAGATACTAATTACTTATTTGTGTTCAAACATTTTACATAAAGGAAGAGAGAGACAACGGGTCAAAGAATGCTCACAAATTTTTGGGGATAAATTTGTCTAAAACCCATTCAGATGTATCTCTTAATCAATAAGTCAGATTTTCTAAACTGAATCGCTCAGCGAAAATTGGTTTCATTCAGATCTATTTATCAAACGCACTAAATGGCTTATTGCTGACCGAATAAGAGATGAGGCGTGTTCAGAGCTCATTAAGAGCTCAACAAACAGGGCCTTAGAGTCTCTAAACAAATAAAATCACACAATGGAGGGCTCTATAATTTTAAGTTTGTAAGCGAATGTCCCAGAAATATACATGAGTCTCCAAACAAAGTCCTATATTTAGAAACAAGTTTGGAGATTATGCAAAAATCTAAATTTTTTGTTGGTGTTGAATTTTCTTCGAAATGGAGTTTGCTTACTCCATTGGAGATGGCCTACCACTCCATTTTGGGATAATTATAGTTTTGGTTCTCCAAGTTTGCACATTTTTCACTTTTGGTCCCCCATTTACCGCCGTCAACAAAATACACATTTAGTCCCTCCGCCTGTTTGACCGTTAAGTATAGTAACGGTCAACGGTTAAATTTAGGGTTTTTCTTTGAGAAAATTGCAATAAGACCCCTGTATTATTTTAAAATATTATAAAAACCTCTAAAATTTTATCCAACCATAATTTAACCTCAATTTCATCAATTTGCCAATTTTAACCACTGACCCCGATTTTTCAAAAATGTTAACTTTCTTTTTAACTCAGTTGACTCTTTTTTTTAATATATCTTTTTTTTTTGCCGATGTTGACCGAAATTGAATGTCGGGTTAACAACGTTGCCATTTTTTTTTTCTTGATTTTTATTTATTTTTATTAATTTCTTTAGTAATGAAAAAATATAATTTAAAGAAAAAATCAAAGCTGATAATTGGCGATAAAATAATATCATAAAAAAGTAAAAATAAAGAAAAAAAACAAAAAGTCAACGAGTCTCAATAACGGAAAAATTTTAATACAAAAAAAAAAAGATAAAACTTAACTGCCGGTGTTAGCCCCAAAAACTGTTGTACTAGAGTTTTTATCTCATTCCAAATTACCCCGCACATGCTTAATTCATCTTCTTCATATTTTCTTGGGAAGAGATTAGGGATGCACTGGCGGTTCAACAAAAAAAATATTGAAGGGAAGAAATCATGAATTTTAGAAATTTTTTAAATTTGTATTTAGACCCTAGAATTTTAGATAAAAACTTTGTTAGAAGTTTTTATTTTAATATTACGATACTAGATATTAATATAGTATTATCATTGTGTTATAAAAAAAAGTCAGTAATTGTGTTATACAGTAATTGTGTTGGTCAGAAAAGAAAAAGTCACAGAAAAAAGTTCGAAAAAAATCAAGAAAAATAATTAAGTTAACATTGTTAATCGAGAATACAATGTCGGTGAACGGCGTCAAAAACAATATTTAAAAAAAGTGAATGCCGAATAAAAAAGTAAAAAAAAAAAAAAAAAAAATCAACCGTGGTCAACGGTCAGCGGTAATGATGGTAAAAATCGGGGTTGTTTGTCAAAATTAATTATGATGAAATTAGGGTTAAATTAAGGTTGAATAAAATTTTAAGGGTTTTTAAAATATTTTAGAAGAATGCAGGGGTCCGAGTGCAATTTTCTCTATGAAAAATCCCAAATTCAGCCATAATCAACAGTTGACCGTATCTTGACGGTCAAACAGACGGAGGGACTAAATGTGTTAAAATGTGACAGCATTAGTGAGTATTTTGTTGATGGCGGTAAATAGGGGAACAAAAGTAAAAAACGTGCAAACTTGGGGGACCAAAACTGTAATTGATCCCCTCCATTTTCGCATTTTCTATATAGAGAGAGAGATAATAATGATTCGCGAAGTCGTTTTCGGGTATCCTAGTTTAGAGAGCGGGCCGGGGTATACGGAATTTATTGGCCTACTCGTGACTATGGTAATGGTGGGACAACCATTTTTTGTGATTTTAGTATTTTATACATATTTTAGTTGGCACCGAAAATATGTATGTCATGTCATTGCTGGGATCTGTATGATGACATGTGAGAAGACGACGTCGCTTCAACGCCATGTGGGAATCATTTATTATCTCTCTCTCTCTCACACACTCTCAAATCCATGGAAACATGGCTATTTTGAGCTCAGGCTTTTTAAATAACTCCATATATATAGTTGGTGTTTAATTAGTTTACTGTAGTGTGTGTTGTGTGTGTGGAAGATAATATTGATACTATATAGCAGTGTGAATGTAGGTGGTGGTAGTGGTGGTGGGTGTGGGGTTTGGTGAGGGGAGGTGTTAGGTGAGTTGGTGAATTAGGTTTCTTTGAGTGAGTGCAAAACACTCCATTTTCGAATTTTCTATTCTGCAGTTTGAGTGTGTGTGAGAGAGAAAGAGAGATAATAATAATATATTAATATCGTCATAAGAATAATTTCACATGGCTTTGAAGCGACGTCGTTTTCGGGTTTCCTAATTTAGTTTAGCGCCGCTTGCAACCTACCTAGTATCGAACCGCACGAATGCAGCTTTATAGCGGACAATATGGGAATGTGTGATTGTCACTATGATGGGGACAACCATTTTTTTACTTCACACATATTTCACTTGCCCCAATAATATTCTCAATTTATGTTCTCAAGTTTTTAATAATTATCTTTCTAGACTAGGGGTGGTTAAATGAGCCGAGCCGACTAGTAAGGGGCGGACCCATGGGGTTTTCTTCGGGGCGAAAAAAATAGAGGTAATTTAAGAGGATTTTTTTTTTTTTTTTTGGGACTAAAGTTTACAAAATTAAAAGTTTGAGGGGGCGAAAGGGTATTAACTATCTTAAATACCAAAAAAATAAGAAAAAAAAATAATATTTATATTATTTTTTATTTTTTGTTTAAATAATCTTATTAATAAAAGTAAGGTTGTTCTGGTGAAACCCTAGGGTTTTTTTTCCCGCTCATTTTATGGCTATATTTGTCATTTAATTATTTTTTTACTTTTATTGTTTATTTCTTACTTTTATTATTTTATTATTTCAATTTTCATTTAATTAGTTCTAAACTTTACGTTGTCTAATATTTATTGTTGTTTATTGTTTTACCTCTTCTTCCCCATCACCCACACTTTTCATCTCTCTCCTCTGCACTTCATCTCCTTCAAGTTTTTTTTTTTTTTTTTTTTTTTATTTATTTATTTTTATTTCTGTTCTTCTTTACAAATCTAGCATCTATATCCATATTCTTCATTTTGTGCAAGATTTTGTCTCTTCCTTTCATTATCTCACAATTTCTTCTTCCTCAAATTTGACAACCCACCATTCTTATTCGACCACCACCACCGGATCCGGCCAACCCCAACCAACTACGCCAAAATCTGCGCAAATCCAGCCACACATAACTAATCCCACGGCGATTTGTGTTCCACCCACTCCACTTCATCTTCACGGCTCTTCATACTCCAAATTATCCAGATAAGATATTCACACCAAATCTATGTATCCTTCTTCAAGTCAAGTTCTCTTTCTCCAGATTTCTACCCCAAATCTACATCTCTAAAATCCTACCCGCCTCTCCTACTTTTCTCATATTTTTCTCCCCAAATCTAACTATGCATACATATCTCATACGATCCTTATCTTTCTCCACCTCTTCTTTGTACACCCGCATCTCCTATGTCTTTCTTAAACACCTATTTATATCCTTTTCCCACTTTTCTGTGGGTATCTTTCTCTTTGCAAAAATTAACTCCATTAGTCAACAGGTAAGTTTGTTCATCAACCTACAACCTCTTTTTTTTTTTTTTTTTTTGAATCTC